CCCCCCCCCCCCCGCCCGAGGTGAGTGATCAAACGACTAAATACAGCATGCACGGCTATAAGTACCCCTCCTCCCACTTTTTTGCTGCTGCGGTCCATCCATCCACACTGGAAACAACTGACGGCAGGCTTGGGAAAGAGCCAAGATCGGCTTGCGAAGCCTTGACCACGACTGCCGGATCGACCTGAGCGAGTTGAGCCGTGAGCCGTTGGAGGTGACGAAGGACGAAATGGACGAAGGCCGGAGACTCAAGAACATAGGGGGCACGGTGAGGGGGAGAGGCTTGCTCACGAGGCGTACGATCGTTTGGTTGTATTGGGATCGTGAGGCTTAAGATTGTTTGGCTGTACTGAGATCATTAAGCTTTAAGATTGTCTGGCTGTACTGAAATCATGAGGCTTGAGATTGTCAGGCTGTGCTGAGACGATCGTCGTGCAACGGGTGCGGCAGTATGCAACGGTTCGCCACTCTTTGTCAGGGTGCGGGTCTCATAGAGCAGTACCGCGTGATGTATGCAGTGGAGCAATCCCATGGGATGTTCCTTGTCTGAGGAAACCAAGCCTCACGGGGGCGGAGATACCGCGCCCATGCACTGCATTCACGTGTCCCTTTCGCGTTGTGGTCTCTGTCCGCCGAAAAATCGCCTCGCAGGAGTTCGTCGGCGGCCATGGGACGTTTGAACTCGTCTTGCGACCAGCCTTGCTCCGCAAGTTCTTCAACAACCAGTGCGAGAAGTGAGGGATCGAAGCGCTGCTTGGCTGACGTTTGTATTGTTGACTCCCGAGGGCGCTGGACTCCTTGCACGTGACGTCACGCGGTTTGCGACGACAAGGGTCGTGAGCGTTTGCATACCTCTTGCTGTGCCGCCGGACCCAGACACGCTCGTCGAGTGACAGTACGCGTTGTGCTGTTCTGCTTGTTGCCCCTTCTTTCGACCCCAACGCTTAAACCCCAAGCCTTATCACCCCCCTTGACACATGTCCGCAGTATCTCTGGGGCCGTGTCGGAGCAGCTCGAGAGGCCACACCTGCAGGGCCTCTCGGCCGTGGTTATGGTGGGCGGATTTTCGGGCAGCGTGCACGTTCAGGTAATGCCTCCGGTCATCCGTCTGTACCCCGAAATTATTACGACGCCGCGGCCCCAATGGTCGCGCCTTCCCCGCGCCGACACAGCCCGCGAAGTGCTTCCATGTTTTGGAAAATACTCAAGAGTATAGGCTCGTCTGTTCGCGCAACTGCTGTGTCTGCAGTCCCGCACCGACGTTACGAGTCAGTCTCTGGTTCCCTCTCACACAGCACCCCAATCTCCACGGCCTGACAGTCCGCGGCGGCTGATTGCACGTTTTTTTTTTTTTGGTCAAGCAGGAGGCCGTCAGGGCGTGCGTGGCTCGAAGGTACCCCGACGGGAGCGTCCAGGTTTCGATTCCAAAGTCTCCGGACCTGGCGATTGTTGAAGGCGCGGCCCACTTCGTTTCGGCTCCCCTCCCCTCCGGCGCCGTCGGCCTCGATGGCCAGCAGCTCCCGGCCGCGCCCCGGTTCGCCGCGGTCACCTCGGCGAACTCGTACGGGATCGTGGTCTCTGAGGTAGGTAGAGGGAGGGAGGGATGCGGGACCGGTTTGTTCTTGGGATCGATGGACACACAAAAACCACCCAACAACTTTGCACAAAAACCTCGAGTTTCCTTGCGTAGTGAAATTGTTTATCTTTCCTCCAGGTGCAGACATTGGTTTCCCTCAAGGGCAGGGTGCAGAGAGAGTTGTAGCACGGCGGTGTTCGAAGGAAGGAATGAAGAAGACCGCGGACTATTCGGGCGGTACCGGCTACCGGTGATCGATGTGGGCATGATTTTGCCAGGGGAGGAGGGAGGAGGGTGTACTCATAGTCGTGCATGCCGTAGTCGTTAAGCCATTGACCTCGCATCCCTACAAAGCCGGGACGGAGCACGCCGTGTTCTCACCGGACCAGGCTCTCACATCACCA